TGTGAAGGGGGTACACATGGGAAGGGGATATAGAACAAGGCATGCAGGGCCCAGGCAGGGGCTGGGTGGGGACAGGGATCAGAAGGCTGACTGCAGAAAATAACCCATACGGAGTATATCTAGCTGAAAAGGGTTGCAAGGGCAGATTGAGATCTGTTCCCTGAGGACCTGGGGTACCGAATCATTGAACAGAAATGTGAGCGTGCAAACCAGGACCTCTCAACTCAGGTTGTGCATTGGAATAACCTGGGGGTATTAGAAACAAAACCAGGGGCCTCCAGCAGACCCACCAGACCCTCCAGGCAGAGATCAGTTTGTGGAGCTCATAGGTGACTTTAAGATTTGGAATCATTGCTGTGAGCAAATGGAGTCCTGGAGGCAGGATCAGAGTGGTACCACTGCTGGAGACAGCCGGCAGCTGTGAGGGTTCAGGCACTAGACAGAGAGGCTAGGACCACCTCTTTGATGGAGATATGGGCCTGTAGTGGGGGGAGGGGTTGCTGACAGTCAGAGTTTGGTGGCTGATGGGATGAGTAAGGGCAGGGAACCTGGGGTGGGGTGGGGGCTGTGGGATCACGACAGTGCTGGGGGGCTATTGGGCAGAAGTGGGCTTGGGCAGTGCAGGGTGGTCAGACCCACGCTGTCCTAACTAGCATGATTAGCCCCATGAGCGAGGAAAGAACCTCACGACTCACCCAAATTAGCTCATACTCATAACCCCTGCCTCTTCTTTGCGGTCACACAACTCAGAACTGATGATTGAACCCAAGTATGTCTGGCTCCATAGCTGTCACAGGCAGAGACACTGAGGACATTGGCCCAGGCCCCGTAGCCCTCAGCTCAGGACTCTGGGTTATAGACTCCTGAGGACCCTGCAGTGCCCAACAACTCTGAATGCCTTATTCCTCAGGAGGCAGCTTCTCCCCAGCCTCAGCTACTTCCTGGCTGGCTGGGGACCTTCGTCTAAATGCAGCACACCATTTCTCAGGCTGTCAGAATCATACTGCAACCCTCCTCTGTTATGCTGGACTGAATGTCACCAAGGCAGACAGCTTTGGGGTGGGCCTTCCAGCAAATCTTGAGAGTAACAGGCAGGGTGGGGGGAGGGCAGTGCATGTGGCTCCGGTGCCAGCCCCATATATCAAGGCTGGTGGGTTCAAACCTGGTCCTGGCCAAACTGCAACAAAAAATAGCCAGGCCTTGTGGCAGGAGCCTGTGGTCCCAGCTACTTGGGAGGTTAAGGCAAGAGAATCACCTAAGCCCAGGAGTTGGAGGTTGCTGTGAACTGTGACGCCACAGCACTCTACCAAGGGTGACAAAATGAGACTCTGTCTCTAAAAAAAAAAAAAAAAAAAAAAAACGGCCGTGGGGAGAAGCTGGCTCAATGCTTGCCATTCTCACTTTTACACATTTTGATCTTGGACATGATTTCATTAAGTGTAGGAAGGCATCACAAAGTCTCTCAAAATTAAGTGAACGAGGAAATCACACATTCCTGGGTTCCACCCCAGTGATTTAGAGTGAGCAGGGACCTGTGCAGCCCTGCAGCCATTCTGCTCCGAGTGGTGGCAGGGACCGCACTTATGGAATATTTCCCAGAGGATCACACCGGCAATATTCAGGCCTCCCAGCACCAAACAGAGATAAAGCCAGGAATTGCACTTGGTGCCATTTTTGTTGAACTCCCAGCTGGGCCTCATCTGAACAGGCCAGAGGTTCCTAACCATAATGAAGCTCTTTTGCACACTCTTTCCTTTGCTTCCCACCGTCTGATACTGGCTTGCCAACAGATTTTGTTGGGTTCACAGAGGGTGACACCTCAAAGCATTTCAATCTGAATTTTTGCCCATATTTTCAAATTGTGAGAGTTCTCACTAAAATTAGGTTTTCTAACTTCTCTTGAAATGTTAGCAGTCTGACAATCCAACCTGAATCTTCTGGCTGGCCTAGTCTCTGTTGTCCAGAGGGAGTGGTGACTGCCAGTCTGGACGCAGATGGTTCTTTCTATTTCCCCAGGCCTCACCACTCCCTGACAACTTTCCCTGGCACCAAGGCAAGTGAAATTTGGCACCTGTCATCTCATTGTCTTGCCTGCTTCACTCACGTTACATACTTAAGCCACACAGGCAGTTGAGCACGTGATCTCTGCCCTGAATACACGTACAGACCCCACTTGGCCTGTGTCACCCACTGGTTTCCTTAGACAGGTATGTTTGGAGTCCTTCTTTAATGGTATCCTTTGAGGACAATCTTGCTATTAACTCATTGAAGTGATGGAGATACCAGGGCTCAGAAAGGGTGAGAAATTTGACTAAGAGCTTAAACATAGTAGAAGCAGAGCCAGGACTGGAATGAGGGCCCACATGTCCAGCTGTGTGCAGTGTGTCCACTGAACAGTTCAGGGCCACCCACACAAATGGCACAAATGAGAACAAGCACTCCAGGCCAGCGCACTGCACAGCCTGCCAAGCTTTAGGCTGGAGTCCTGACTCTCTCGTCCAGTGGCTGAATGCCAAAGCTGGCATTTTCCTTTACTCCATCCATCCCGGGCAAGGGCCCTGAGAAACAGGGACCTTCAACCCCATGGATGCTATCACTTCTCCCCTACAGTGCTCCTACATCCCACGCAGCCTGGACAACTACCAGAAGGCACGGGCCGACGTGGAGGAGGTCAGAGACAAGTTCCACAAGCGCCAGGACTTCTACTGCTTCTCAACGACTCAGGAGAATGAGACCAGTGTGCTATACCAGCGCCTCTATGGGCCCCAGGTCCTCCTCTTCTCCCTCTTCTGGCCTACCTTCCTACTGACTGGCGGCCTCCTCATTATCGCTATGGTGAAGCTTAACCAGTCCCTCTCCATCCTGGCGGCTCAGAAGTAGACCCATCTATGCCACACCACAGCCTGGACCACAGGGCCTTGGGTGGGACCCCAGGGCTGCTCCCCGCTTGCATTCCCATGACTACCCCACTTCCCTACCCCCGCTCTTCCCTTCCGCTCCACCCTGTCTTATATCACTTGGTTGACCTTTGGGGAATCCTTTTGTTAAGTCATTTCCTGCTCAAGAATATGCAATGGCTCCCTAGTGCCTTAGCAGACACAGGCTGGCCAGTTACAGCTCTCCAGTCAACTGACTCATACCTGTTTTCGACTGTGTCACTGTGTACCCCACAGACAATGATGATTATTACCTCTGTGCCTATGTTTTCTCTGTTGGCTCAAAGGGCTGCCCATCCCACCCAGGAAGCTGTCCTTAGCAAACCTCAGTTCTTTCTCTGAATCCCATAATAAAGACAATAGCAGCTCCCATTGATAGAGCCCATTTAGATGACTGCTGCTTCTCAGCATTCTCGGGGCTATATCCAACAGATTCCAACATGCAACATAACAAACAGCTTTAAGGAAGTATACCAAAATGTATCCAAATTTTAACAATGGGGTGATGGTTAACTTCAATTTTCTCCCATAGTCTCCTTTTTATTTTTAGTATTTTTCTAAATTTTCAATAATAGGCAGGTAGTATTGTTTATTTTTAATCAGAAAAGCAACAGTAGATGCTATTTTGGGAAATGTTGACAGGGAAAGTTTGCTCACGGGTCCAGTCAGAGGTAGCTGAGAACATGAAATCATGGGAGCCTTCTCTGGAGGAAAGATGATCACATAGACAAGGGTTTGTGAATTGCACTGAAGGGAAATACTTGGGTGCTGAACCTGCCAGGGAAGTCTGTCTCAGACTTACCTCTACCATAGCCACCCCAAGATGTTTTCCTCGAGCAGTGATTCTCAAGGTGTGGTCCTTGGACCAGCGGGATCGGGGGCCCAAGGAGACTTGAGAGAGCTGCACATTCCTGGGCCTCCGTCTTGGTCCTAAGGACCCAGAACAGCTGCGTGGGTGGGGGCAGTGCTGTGTGTCTTAACAATGGTGGCTGGGGATTCTGACAGCGCGCATTGAGTGTGAGGGCCACGGTGTAGGGAGTAAGTGCCCTGTCACCAGGCTTTTCATGGTAGATAAGTGACTATTCCACAGGTGAGTCCTGAGCTGGGGGCGAAGGCTGGTCTCCCCAGAGTTCCTCCAGGCATTGCAATTCTGAGACGCAGTCCTTGGGTTTTGAATCCTTTCTCTACCTGTGCCAGATTTCTTCTCTCTGGTTGTTTGGGGTGATTTTTGTCTACAATATGGGGGACTCTTCCTTTTGGGTAGTTGGGAGGGCTGGATGAAGATGTGGCACATAGTATGTGGCCATAATGGAAGCTGTTGTTAATCAGGGTTGTAAGTCATGGAAACTCAGAAACTTCTGGATGAAGTTATACTGACGATGCGATGGAACACATGCTGGTGCGTATTGATTATACGCCTGGCACTGTGCTACATAGTTTGCCTTATAAAACCTCATAGGAGGCTCGGTGCCTGTGGCTCAAGTGGCTAAGGCACCAGCCACGTACACCCAAGGTGGCGGGTTCGAATCCAGCCCGGGCCCACCAAACAACAATGACGGCTGCAACCAAAAAATAGCCGGGCGTTGTGGCAGGCACCTGTGGTCCCAGCTACTCGGGAGGCTGAGGCAGGAGACTCGCTTGAGCCCAGGAGTTGGAGGTTGCTGTGAGCTGTGATGCCATGGCATTCAACCCAGGGGGACAGCTTGAGGCTCTGTCTCAAAAAAAACCTCATAGGAAGTGAGATGCTACTGATCCTGCCTCATAGATGAGGAAAAAGGATGTAAGACAGTGGTAAAGAATGTGGATTTGGGATGTGTACTATCTGGGTCACATATACAATCCTGCCATTCATTAGCTGGGTGACCTCATTTGAAAATAGGAACTGGCAATACTATCTTCATCATAGGGCTGTCGGTATTAAATGAGTTATTACGTAAATTTCCTAGGACAGTGACCAACACATGGTAAGTGCTATATAAGCCAACAAGGAGGCAGGAGGCTCTAAAAGGTAAGTGGCCGAGGCTCACTCAGTAAGTGAGGAGCTGGGATCGGCACCAGCGTCTGCCACTTCCTGCCCGGAAGCCTGAGGTCCCCCGTGCCCTCCAGTTTCTACCTGATGGACCTTAGTTCCAATGGGAGGCAGTTCACTTTCCCCTGGAGTTTTTCCTTTCTGGGGTCAGAAAAGTCTCAAGGGTCCTCTGAACCTTTTAAGAAAGTCTGAATTGTCCTGTAATCCTAGTTCTCAGGGAGGCTTGAGCTCAGGGGTTTGAAACCAGCCTGAGCAAGAACAAGACTTCGTCTCTACTAAAAATAGAAAAACTAGCAGGGTGTTGTGGTGGGCACCTGTAGTCTCAGCTACTCAGGAAGCTGAGGCAGGAGCATCATTTGAGCCCAAGAGTTGGAGGTTGCTGTAAGCTAGAAGGACCCCACGGCACTCTAGCCACTTACTGTCTCTGGGTGACCGAGTGAGACTCTGTCTTAAAAAAATAATCAAAAAGAAAGTCTGAACTGTGATATTGTACTATAGTTCTGCAAGTTGTTTTCATTGGAGGAAATAAGGTAAAAGGTCCATGGATCTCTGTATTATTTCTTACAACTCCATGTGAATTCATAATTATCTCACACTTTTAAGTTTAAATAAAAAAGAAAGAAAGTCCCAGCCAAGAGTCTGACTTACAGGTTCTACTTTGCACATGGTTTCCACACATCTACGTTTGGGACTAAACTACGTGAAGCTCAGAATATCCAAACAGCTCCTGCAGGGGGAAAGATAATGCTCCTTTAGAAAAATTAGTATGTGATGATGACTCGCCCCCACCACCTTGTGCATTATTAATGACGACTGTCGTTTGCTTGAGACAAATGTCTTCCTCCTGTCAACAGAGACTGGTCTTCCCCCAAATACCACACCTGTCTGCTGCTGCTCACAGAACCCCCTGCCCAGGATGAGCGTGAAATAACGGGCATGTAGGCATGATGGAGTTAGACACCTGAATAAGTGTTCTGTGGAATAATAGCTGTCTGAGAGCAGAGAGTCCTGGTCAGTTCCTCACAAACTGCTCTGCTGATGTGTGTGCTTTCCACCGTTTTGCTTGTCCTCTCACGAGCCAGTGATTCACACCTGGAGAGGTGCACCTGCACCCCCTCCCGTCAACCCTCCCCCAGATTTCAGACACCACAGTGGAGATCAGAGGCCAGGCGCTCTGAGCACCAGACTCGGGGAGGAAAGAACCCAGTGGAGTGACCTAACAGTGCCAGGCCTTAGACAAAGTTTCAGCTCATCCACTCAGGCCACGATTAGAGGAATGAAAGAAAGGAGGGTAACTTCTGTTTGTGAAGATCTCAGGGGGCAAAGATTTCACTTCACATTTATAGCGTATCTACTCTCCATGGGTAGAAATGCTGCCTTCACAGAGCTATAGCTCTGTCCCTGCCATTCCCCCTTCCTGCCTCTCACCTGCCTCTCACCGGCTTCTCTCTTCACAGTGAAGAGCCTGAATCTTGAAAACTTATAATAGTGTAATATGAAAATATTAATATACTATCGTTTTTGTGATTTACTGAAATGATACCAGCTCCCCTCTAAATCAGCAATTCACTCAGGATTTCTCCTCATTCAAAACTCCTTGAGTCAAAGGATCACAAAGATCACAAACTTCACTTATGCTATTACTAATTGGCATACTGGCCGTTAGCTCAGAATATACCATGTCCTTTGAATTAGTCTTATGTTTGGGGGCACTAAATCCTATGAAATATTTGGAAAGATACAATTTGAACAAAGTGCAACTGTCCTGTACTTCACCACCCACTGCCCTGTCACACGTAGGGGAAAGAAAACGATCAAAGAAAGATCAGAGAGACAGTGAAACTCATGAGGTCTAGAGTAGTGACTTCTTGAAGTAGAGGCTTGGAGAGTCAAAACTGTTTTCCTAATAGTAAAACGTCATAACGGTAATACATCATTTGTATTTTTCACTCTCTTTCTCCCATGAGTGTACAGTGGAATTTTCCAGAGGTTATAGGACATATGTTCTCACAACAGATAATGCAGAGACGGCTATGAGATTCCCGCTGCCTTTATTAAGTCAGACATTTAAAGATTTACCAAAAATGTAAAACAATGCCACTTCTCTCAATATAAGTTTATTTTGGAAACTATAATTGTTTTTCACAAAAAAATACGTTATTGTTATTGACACATGATGGATTTATTACCACTTTAAAATAAATAAAATTAAATATTAACTTTAAATATTTTTCAAGTTCTTAGTTTAATTCCTAAAAGGGGATACCTCCAAACTCATTGGATTCTTACTATTTTTCAAGGGTGTAAAGGGATCCTGAGACTGAAAAGATTCATAACTGCTGGTCTCAAGTATCCTGGGATAAGGCCTCCAGGTCCCTCCCACTCCACGCCCTGCGGAAATCTGACATTCTCCCTTAAACTCTGTCAGAGCCCCACTAGGGGCCAGGAAAAGGGCTTCAGTTTTCTGGATCATTCCTGGCTCGCAGTTCCTGCTTCCACAGATGGAGAGGTGATGGATTATCTTCCTAACCACAGTGCTTTTCCGGATCCTTGTCCTGTCAACTCTAATGCAGAGTTTCTTCCTAGGTTTCCATAGCTCTCTCCCCGCCCCATATGACATGCGTGTGTGTCAGCCAACTTCCTTAAAGGACCTGGGAGATGGGGAACGAGGGATAAGTCTGCAAAGCAAACAACCCCACACTGTGTGTTGGACCAGCTTTGGGATTCTTCCTCAGGCTTGTTCCATCTCCGCCAGCTGCAGAGCCAAAGGTAGCTTAGGTGGACCTTGATTGCCCATAATCTCCATCATCCCATACCAACCTCCCCATCCCTAAGACACGTTAAATAGAAGCAGGGGCCAGCTAAGCATCTGCAGCTTCAAGACACACCGTCTGGCTTGGTGCCCGTAGCAGAGAGGTTATGGTGCCGGCCATGTGCACCGAGGCTGGCAGGTTTGAACCCAGCTCAGGCCAGCTAAACAACAATGAGGCCTGCAACAACAACAACAACAACAACAACAGCCAGGTGTCATGGTGGGCACCTGTA